ACCTTTGTTGTTCTTTTTTATCTTTCTCTTTTTTACCTTTTTTTTTTTTTTTTTTTTTTTTACCTGGCATTAGCTTTTGGCGAGCAGCTTTATTAACAAGTCTCAGGTTCTCCACTGAGGAGAAAAATTCATCTCGCATCAAGCTGTGTCTGAGGTTCCATTTGGTACCTCTAAGGTAACAAAGAAAACGTATTCATCCTAACTGGCTGTGGAAGGTAGTTTGCTGCCGTGGAGGTGGAGCAGGGTGAGCTCTAGATGCAGGATTTTCATCTGTGTCATCATGTCCCCTCGGTTGCTAAGCAGTGGTGACCACATCTGTGGGAAGATGGAAGAAAGCACACAGAGGAGAGAGCAACAGGAAAAGCCAGGAAAAACAGCAGGTTCTCCTCTGGAGCAACCTTATCTGCTGGGTATTTGTATAGAAAATAAACACCTGATGCCTTAGTTGTTCTTACGCACCTGTTACCTTAACTCTAAACTTCTGGCATTCCATCTTATTGTTTAGGTAGAGCAAAGTTATTTTACTCAACCAAATTGATTTGTCGTGACTTTTGTACAAAGAGTAGTAATTTACAAAAGTGGACTTTGTGCTTCCCAAGAGTGGCACTGCTTTAACCTCAAAAAAAATCTTGGTAGGAAAACAAATGATGGGAACAACCCTTACAGAAAGTACATGGTTGATTTATGGAAAGTTCTCACTGAGAAGTTTTTCATCACAAAAATTAATTTCAGTACACTTTCTCCCTCCTTCTTTAAAATCAGATTTGATCATTTAATTTGAGGACTCCAATGTATCTAATGTTTCTTTTTTTATGAAAATATCTCGTTGTTTCAGGAATTTATTAAAAAGACTTCTAGTTTGAGTGGGATGAAAAAGCAAAATTGTGTTGTGGAAGGGTAAATTTGTTATTTTTTTTGCTCAGTTGAACTTGTTGAGCTTGAGAAAACATGTGCATTTGAGTTAGCAACAAAAAAAACCCCAAAATTTTGTATTACTGTAATGACATGATTACCATTTGCTGTGCAGCAGAACAGCACTGTTAAGGAGAAAATTTTCTTTAATGAAAGGCAGTTTTTACACTGCCATTTTCATGTCAGTTGTTTGTGTGTGTAAACATCTTCCGGCTTCTAAGTGGACTGAAAAGTCTACTTTTATTAGAATCTGATCAGTTGCTGCGTTGTTGTTTGCCAAACACATCTGTTGCAGGCAAATAGGAAGAATCCATCCCGTACGTTGGCTCTGATCTCACTGTGAGAAACCCAGCAGCTCCTTGGCTGGTCCTGATGGAAAAGGGTGTGTCAGGGTGGGAAGGCAGAGCTCTGTTGTGTGCATTGCACACTGAGATTTGGGGTGGTCAGAGATGTGTTCAAGGTACTGCAAGAATAGCCAAGGGCCATATTGGCCATTAGCCAGTGCAAGGTGTTTGGTGTCATCTTCACCCACACTCCATCCCTGTCACTTTTCTGTGTTAGGGATTCAAGAGGATAGTTTCATATAGGCTCTTGTATTTTAATTCTTTCTTACATATTTTTAAAAATACTATGTTTTTTAACCAGTCTCCTAAAGGTGTATTTAGCTGAAGTTTATACCAATGCCGATTTGATGAAAATACAAGTTTTGTATACATCTTAGGCTTTGATAAATAATTTTATATTATTCCTAAGAGACACAAAAGCAAACATTGCCCCTTCCATATTTTAAACATTATTCTGTGTTTGCAGATAAAGTTCAACAGAGAGAAATGGAAATGGGTGAAACAGGTTGTTGATTTCAAAACTAAATACATTAAAAGAAAGGCAAAGTGCAGATAAATAGTATAAGACGTGAACAATTTTCTGGGCTTTTAAATAGATTTTGTTAATCTAAGGTTTTATTACCATCAATACTATGTTGATATGGATGCCTTTTGCCTTCAATATGTTCTTATAGAACTTGTTTCTCTTGTTTGAGAAAAAGATGAAGCTTTGAGGTAATGCTGAAAAGACAAATACTTTGTTTTTCTTCATATAAGAAAATGTAATTTATTGCTAATATGTAATTACTAC